TTGCAACGTACCTGCACGCACTGCCAGAAGCTGCTGTTGTCGATGATGCTTCGGACATCGAAGACGAAAGCTTTGATGAATGAAATGCGCTTTTGTTTGCTTACACAAAAAATCGTTTATTCTACAGTACTATTTTATACTTTATTATTTGTTTGACTGGCGATCCAATCAACAGAATAATTTCATACTCTAGAAGAAGGGGTGTCGACTCTACATTTGGTGATGTCGCACTGTAACCGTTTGTCGCACTGGAGCCGACTTTTACGGTAGTACTTTCAACTTCTATTTCGCCAGTGCTACAAAGCCCTAGGGTTTCTACGCCTCTGAAAAGCAGACCTTGATTTTGCCAACGCATCCCTATTATAGCAATGCATTTCGGCAAACGTTTGCTCGTGGAGCCTATCCTGGAGATACTGTCCGGATAAGCGTGGCTGGCTGTCGAGGGAGGGGCAAGTTCTCGCCCCGCCCTGGATTAATACGGACATCTCGTGGTTAGGGCAACAGTTAAAATGAAGAACAGTCACATTATTTCTTGCGCCCATTTTTTCTATTTACTAATAGCTTGTGGTGTGCTGATATAAGAATATACACTGAATTCAACTAGAATGGAATCCACTTTCAATCTCAAACACGATCACCTGGCGCACTACTGTAAAATACGTTAGGCTCTGATTCTCGCCGACAGACCATCGGACCTAAAAATTCAGAGTTTTGAACACCGTCATCCCAATTGTCGATACGTGCCAGTGTACCAGACGGTGGTCATACCATTTTGCGATATGCGTCGAAGAAATTATTGGTTCTACATGTATTGTTTTACTCTGCACAAATAGTACCACGTCACATAATATAACGCTGTTTTCAGTGTTTTGTAGAAGTCAGACACCTTAAACGGTAACTCTCCTAAATCTGTACTCACACTCTGATCATTTCGCAATTTCTCCTCACTCATGAGTTGCAGGTTTGCTAGGGTCCTGCTCGTGGTAGTCGTCGTTACGTACTTCGACGGCTTAACCAGTGCCGACTTCGATGGCAGTGTCCAAATCCGGAATTCGCAGGACACATTCAACCGAAACTTGAAAGAAAACGCACCGCAGCATCTCAAGGGGCCAGAAGATGTGGATGACCACTCGACCAACGAAGAGAGAGGGATTTTGAGCGCCATCAAGTCAAAGATCCTTTTTAACAAGCCGCCGAAAGTTGACAAGACGAAGCAGCTTTCTGGGACAAAGCCCGACGCTAACAAAATTCAGATTGCTGCGGGTCAGAAAGTTGATCTCAGCGAGTTGAAAACTACTTCGGGAAAGACTTTTGATCTCTCCAAAGCGGAGTTTAAGGTTATTTCAGCTAAGGAGGCCGATGTCAGTAAATTGAAAAAGCTGGCGGAAAAGGATCCTGATGTGTTGAGTATTTCGGTTGCAGGAGGAAAGAGCCCCAAACAGTTTTCGACAAAACAAGTCTCGGACCTCCAATCGCTCATCAAAAAGCACCCGGAAAGCAGAGGATTCCTCTCTCCAAACTTGATTGGCGTTGCTGCAGTTGTACTTCTATTTGTTGGTCCCTCGATCGCTCTAATCGTCGTCGGCGCTACTACGGATACATCTCCAAAATAAGAAAAAGAATAATCAGCAGTGGTGCCTAGAGTAGGGCCACGAAACCACAATGAAAATACGCAAATGAGAGGCTAGTGAGAAGGTATAAACTGCTGACACCTACGAAGTTTGTGAAAGTCTAAAAAAAGTAGCGAAATTCGAACACTTTTCGTTGTATTTTGGCCTCTAGGTTCGTCTGCTGTCAACAAGGAGCGTTCCACTAATAAAAGTAACAAAATACTCGCAGATTTCGGCTATAGCTCTCTTCGCTCCGAACGGTCAGTAAAGAGAAGGCCAGACTACGAGATCTTCTGTCCTCTTTCGAGTTCTGCCGTCTTCAGCTCTTACGCTAAATTACACGCATCATTTCTCGAAGGTTTCCATAGACTCGGGTGCCATGCAATGGTGGTGACATCGCCAAATCTAAACCTCTGTCACTCGACAGACACTTGCAGCACTCTCAGGCCAAATGAGCAAAGCAGTTTCGAGGTCGTCTGCCACCTTTATCTCCTTCAAAATCTCGTCGCACATTGTCTCGGTAGGCACCAGGATATGCTATACCGTACTTCGGTTATACTGATACGTATAGTCGCTGCCACTTGAGCGATACACGTACTTCCCCCCACACTTCGACGAATATGAGACGACGCGACTGTAAGTGTGCTTAGTTTCAAGTCCATTAGGGCGTCTGGATGCGGTGTGGGAGTTTGAGGTTTGGAGGGGTTGTAGCATGATGTATCCAATAGATCCAATAGAGTTTCTGTTAACAGTTAAGCAGTACTTGATTTTGTTGAAATGTTTCTATAGCTGGTGAATCGGAGATAAACGTTTTTGTGCTTTTTTTTAAATAAAAACAAGCAAGGCACTATATATGCATGTCGTAAATTTCTCACAAACGAATTTAGCCTGTTAAAAGTCATTTGCACGTTCAAAACATGCAAAATGTCCGTACCTTTTATTTCGAAGTATTTATTTTATGAAACTGCGAAGTGTCATACAATAGTCATCATGCTGTATTACTCTGGTCATCCCATTTTGCGATATACTTCATAGATGTGGTTCTTCGTAATGCAGTATTATACATGTAGCTGCATGTTCAAGTGCCATTATTGACACCACGTCATAATATATACTTCCTGCAGTAGAAGTCAGACAAAACATTCCAGATAGGCATAACTTCGATGAAAGTTTCATTGAGACGCGGCCATCATTTCGCAATCTGCTTCCACCCATGCGATTCCAGTGTGTCCAAGTCCTACTCCTCGTTTTCGTCGTTGCGCGCATCGAAGGCTTAACTGGAGCCGATGGTAAAGTCCGAGTAAAGGAAAATGAGCTCCGTCACCTCAAAGGAGCAACTGGTGGTAGTGGTGGTTCAACTAACGAAGAGAGAGGGATTTTAGGCGCCCTCAAGCAAAAGTCCATGCTCAAGAAACCGTCGAACCTTGCCGTGGTGAAGAAGTTATCCGGAAAGAATCTCTGCATCGGCAAAATCCAGATTCCTGTGGGGCAAAAAGTTGATATTACCAAACTGAAGACTGCCTCGGGGAAGACGGTTGATCTCTCCAAGGTAAACCTGAAGACTACCCCAATGAAGGAGGCCGATATCAGCAAAATGAAGAAATTCGCGGAGCAGGATCCTGACCTTCGCAGTGTTGCTTCTGTAGTGGGCAAGAACCCCACGCAGCTCTCAGCGAAACAAGTGTCAGATGTGCAATCGTTCATCAAAAAGCACCCGGAAGATGGACTAAATATCGCCCACAAGATGATTTATGGTGGATTTGGAGTTTTGTTTCTGCTCCTAGCGGTTGGGTTGGTAACTGTAGCCGTCACTGCCATCCCTGAAGCAGCACGTGCAGCAACAGACTAAACACGCTCAGCTAATCAACTGGCAATCATTGAGCGAGAAATCATGGCAACATGTTGCAAACTCTCGTCTTTCAGCTTAGTTGCTACTTCCGCGAAAAAAAAGCAAACTGTTCTGTTTGCACTGCATTTGAATCCTCCCACAACATTGTGGGTGACTGAGTACCTTAATTTTTCGTTCCCGTCTCCGTTTAAAACCAGCACTTAGAGATCACGATCCTGGTCTGCATCATCGTCGTCCAAGTCACTGAGCACCTCGTCGCCCATCCCCGAACGATCAGTAATAAGCACCAAGTGCCAGCCGAACTGCAAAACGAATCAGTTAGACGCACGCGATGCTAATGGCGCACTGATAGTGAACACCAACGGATCTTTCGCTAACTTACCTGGGTCTTAACTTTGTGGACTTCTCCCACAGGCTTCTCAAAGGCTACCATATCGAACTCGGGCACCATTTGGCCACGTCCGAACGACCCCAGATCTCCACCCTGGCGACTCGATGGGCATTTACTGCGCTCTTTGGCCAAACGAGCAAAAGTTGACTCAAGATCGTCAGCCGCCTGCAACTCCTTCAAGATCTCGTCGCACTCCGTCTCAGTAGGCACCAGGATGTGGCTGGCGCGCGCTTTGGGCTTACCCGCCGACACTACAGCCTTTAGACTGAAATCGTTCAGCACTGTAATGGCGAGGAGCAACACCAAAAGCGCCGTGTATACTCGCTTCGCCGCCATCTTCTTCTCCTTCAATATCTTTTCTCTTATTAGTGACTTTTCACAAAATATTTAATGTATAAAACACTAAAACGTACTTCTACGGATCGTCAGTGTAGTGAATACAAACACCAAGTCACTGCCATTCCGCGCATTTTTGAGGGCGGGGCTACTAATCGGTTTCTCGGTCATGAAGGCACCGTCGGCAGAAGAGGTGTTAGCACTGGTGAACGCGGCAACTGGGCCCGATGGGACCTTGGACCCAACCATGGAGCACCTGCTTATGCAAATGCAAGAGCAACACTCGCTGAATCAAGCTCAACTTCGCGCCCAAGAGCAAACTCAACGACCTCCTAGTGAACTCAAGTCTAACGTCTCAGAGCTGCCCAAGACGATAAAATCAGACAACAGCCACGGTACTGCCAGTACCGTCATGGACTTAATGCCGTTATCGGCAGCTGCAGTCGCCATCGGGTCTCCCACCAATTCCGCACTGGAAAGAGCAACTTCGGCAGTGGAAGTTGCCTCTGGACCGGCTCCAGCAACTCCTGGACCTCCATCGGCAACATCAACTGCACCAGCAACTTTAACCTCTAAGGCAATGACGCGGAAGAGCATACCGTTAAGTATGAAAAAAGAGGCCATACAGTGGATTATGGGTCCGGGTAAAGGGATCCCATCGCGTGCCGAGAAGCATTTTGGAGCTTTGAATTGGGACGTCAGTGCGTCTTCGTTCCGCAAGTGGTGGAAGAACCGAGACAAAATTTTGGGCGACTCTGGAGGCAAGAAACGTATCAGCGGTGGAGGCAGGAAGCCCTACTTGGAGGACTCGGAGGAGAAACTTTTGGTGGTTGTGATCCAGGAACGAGCGAAAAAAGACCGAGTGACGAGGAAATGGATCGCCAAGACGGCGCAGCACATGTTCCAGCGGTCTGACTCGACGTTTAAGGCCTCGGAGAACTGGGTCACCAAGTTTATTCGACGGAATGGACTCACGCTCAAGCGAAGTTATGTCACCTACGAGCCGCAACAAACGAAACTAGAACCGCAACATCAAACTTCGACAAGTGGAGCAACTACGACTACGGGCACCAAGTACGTATCATAGGTTATCTGGGTACTATGTGGATGTGCATCTAACTTTTTTTTTTTACTTTTTAGTATTGTTGTGTAGCAGACCCAACATGACAGCTAGCAAAAGTGCCGGCTTTTTGAGTTTTTGAGTGTGACGAGAAGACCAGATCAAGACATTTATGAATCGTCTCATCCAGCAGTAGAGCGTTTGACAAGCTCTGCTTATCGTATTCACTGCATGCATTTTATTTGATTAGGGATCTTATACGGTGGTGTTAACGTGCTTTGGCGCTGTAATGGAATAGTTATCGTCATGGTTTATGTGGATCAGAGTTTTCTGACATCGTGGACTCACTAAAAAGCAAGTGATAAGTGACTAATGTTCATGAATGGAGTTTTCAGTGACGACTTCGGCGCATATAGCACTTGATTGGGGCAGTTGTCGCCGGTGGTGCCGTGGTTGTTGGGGCTGTGGTCTCAATTGTTGGTGGGGCGGTCGTAGTAGGCACTACCGTTGGGGCGCTCGTTGAGGGAGCAGTGGTTGGATTTGTAGTTGCGGGTGTTGCTGATGTTGTTTCGAATTGGAGGTTGGTGTCGGTGCATTGACCTGCAGATAACGAGTACATCCCCTCAATAACTTGACCATCCATGGAGGTGACTGAAACCTCTACAGCGGTGAGATCAACCTCTGATGAGCTAGTGATGAGGTAGTAGTATGCACCGCTAATCATCGACGCAGTGTTGCCATTGATACTGACGCTCTTGACTCCTATTACAGCATTTGTTGGTTGTACAGCGATCCAGAAACCATTACTACCGGTCTTGAGGCAGATCTTCAGGGTCTCTGGGTTTGGACAGTCTACAAACTGCCATCGGATCGATAGACGGCTCGGATCCGAACCTGTGATAGTCCTGAACACTGACGGCGATAGATCCAAGTCCCCGTATTTGCATTCAGGACAGCGATCTACGATCTGGACGATGGCAGTCGCTGTCTGATCTTCGCATGCTTCGTCAATGCACGAAACTTGAGCACAGCGACCGCAATTTCCCAAGTTATTCCACTGTTCGTTGTTCAGTGCCGCATAATTCGTAGCCGCAATGCTGTTCCAAGACATCAAATTGCAGTTGCCGCTGCTCACTCCACCGAGTGTGTAGGTGGTGCCGTCGCCTTCGAAGTACGCAGCGGTGGGAAACGCCGTGGTGGTGACGCACAGGAGGAGAGCACGGATGGTGAGTGTGTTGAGCATAGTAAAGACTTTTAATGTTGAACGTTCAAGGCGAATTGAGGAATGACATATCCGAGCAGTCGATGCGAAGTCGAAGAGATCAAGTCAGACGCGATGGCGGGGACGTCGGGGGCCCACCGAGACCTGTCGGATAGTATCTTTCCCATATTGCGCGATACAAACTGCCACACGCGATCCATTCGAACTGTTTTGCGCATTTTGGGATGCTGATCATTTCGATGAAGAGATCGCGTAACTTGGAATCTTTTCGTAAATGGGATGCTGCTTTACGGCGATAAATACGAGTGCTTGGTAGAGCAAGGAAAAGTGGCGGTTCTAGAAACGCCAAGATGGTTTCGATCCTATTAGCTAGGTAGAGTGTGGTTGTTGTAGTCGACATCGATGCATGGAGCTGCTCCGAATGAAAAGATGATCGAAAACAACCAGGACAGAATTTTAAAGACGAGGATGACCCAACAAAAGGTTTATCCCTTAAACTGAATTAATGGTTAACGACTACTGCATGAACAACACTGATTCGGCGAGGTATATGCTCGAAGCAATTAACCGCGACGGCTTCGCACGCGGCACTTCGGTGAATTAGTCGTTGGGGTCGTTGTCGTTGCAGTAGGAGCTGTTGTGGTGGTGGGTGGAATAGTCGTGGTTGCCACTGGAGTCGATGTTGTTGAAGCCGGCGTTGAAGTAGTGCTAGTAGGAGACGTAGTGGCTTCCACATCTTCCTCTAAAGAATTTTCGGTGTCCTCACCAACACTTCCCCATGTCTGAGTAGCAGTAGTGGATATAGGCGTAGCCGTCGTGGACGTTGGTATTGCTGTCGTAGACGCTGGTGTTGCAGTAGTGGACACTGGTGTGGCCGTGGTGGACGTAGGTGTTGCTGTTGTGGACGCTGGTGTAGTGGTGTTGGACGTTGGTGCAGTGGTCGTGGTGGATGTGTAGGTTGTCGAGCTGGTAGTCTGACTGCTGCTGCTAGTGGTAAACTGCTGGTCGGTGTCCACGCACTCACCCGCCGTCAGCGAGTAGGTACCTTCCACAGTCTCACCTTCAACGGACGTGATCGATACAGCCACGGACGTCAGGTCAACATCACTTGTGCTCTCGATCAGGTAGTAGTAGGCGCTGTCCACCATGGTGGTCGCTTCGCCGTTGATAGTCACGGTCTCCACTCCGACCAGGGTGTTAGTAGGCTGCACGGCCACATAGTATCCGTTGCTGCCGGACTTGAGGCACACCTCGATGTTACCTGGATTGGGACAGTCCACGAACTTCCAGCGGATCGACAGACGACTGGGATCCGAGCCGGTGATAGTCTTGAACACTGTCGGTGACAGATCCAGGTCGCCAGAGCTGCACTCCGGGCACCGATCCAAGATTTGCACGATGGCAGTGGTGGTTTGGTCGGTGCATTGGTCGTCAATGCAGGATACCTCGGCACAGCGGCCGCAGTTAGCCAGGTTGTCCCATTGATCGTTGTTGAGCGCCGCGTAGTTGGTTGAGGCCGTCGGGATGGCTGACATGAAGTTGCAATTGCCACTGCTGATATCGCCTAACGTGTAGCTCGTACCGTCACCTTCGAAGTATTCGGCCGAGACCACAACGGTGAAGCTTAGCGCGGCAAGAGTACGGAAGACCATCTCTTGAGTCTGTTACCAATTGGAAAGTGACGACGGTCTTCGTTATCGACGTCGTCCTCGAAGGGCGTCGCCACCATAGAGTGAGACCGATCAGGACTTCCGATCGTCTCCACCACGCATTCGGCATGCTCGATCTTCATCTATCCGAGACCAAGATGCCGAGCAACTCGCGTCCGGTTCTTGAATGCCAGCTGGGGCCGCTTGAGGCGACGCTCGCCGCAAGGCGATAACGGCGGCCACTTGAGTCAAGTCTTGACGGATGATACGGAGTGGCGACGCGAGACGAAAGTCCTTGACGAGCTGGTTAAGTCTCGGTGCGTTTTTACTTTGAACGGCATTGACCGGATGCTGCCTGCATCAGATCGAGAACCTCTGACGCTGCAGGTTGTGCACCGATGGATTCTTCAACGGTGCAGCAGGCCTCGACATCTGGGACCGTCGTTGAGCTTCGTCTGGTCAGTTGAAAAGCGGTGGGAACGACCTCGACGAGAATCCAATTAAACCGTGGACCGTTGCAACGAGATGAAAAGATGACCATTTGATGTTGGTCCAGGAATCTATTATCTTAGCTACGAATGCACGATGCGTGTTCCAGCGAAAACGCAACGCTCGACAAGAACGGATACTACGGGCGGACAGACGAATACTAAAGGTGCCTAGTTGCGGTGACGACTTCTTACGCGGCACTTGGAAGTATCGCCGGACTGAGTAGGCGCGTCGGTAGGTGCAGTGGTGACCTCAGGAGCAGCAGTCGTAGGAGCAGCAGTTGTAGCCTCAGGAGTGGCAGTCGTAGCCTCGGGAGTAGCTGGTGTGGCGTCAGGAGTAGCGGGCGTGGCTTCAGGGGTGGCCGGTGTGGCTTCTGGGGTCGTCGAAGCAGACGATGAAGCCTGAGTCACGTCAGATTGAGAGCTCTGATCGTATTGACCTGTGCTGCCAGTCTGCGAGCTTTGGTCGGTCTGTGATCCCTGCTCGTACGAACTCTGCCCGGTTTGTGAAGCCTCCTCGGATGCGTCGCTACTGTACGTCTGCGTCGGAGAAGTGGCCGAAGGCGTGGCAATCGTAGCAGTAGGAGTAGCCGTCGTCGGTGTCGGGGCCGAGGTTGTGGGGTAGGACTGAGACTGGGAAGAGGAACCACCACCAAACTGTTTCTTGGTATCCGTGCACTTGCCTGCCGTGAGCGAGTAAGTGCCGGAGATCTCGTCGCCGTTGACCGACGTGATGGCCACCTTTATGGCGGAGAGATCGGCGTTCGACGTGGTCGCGACGTAATAGTACGCGCCGTCCAGCATTTTCGTGGACGCGCCGTTTACAGTGACGCTCTCCACACCGACTAGGCCGTTCGTCGGCTGCACAGCGATCCAGTTTGCGTTGCTGCCCTCCTTCAGGCACACCTGCACGGTGCCCGGGTCCGGGCAGTCCACAAACCGCCAACGAACCGTCAGACGGTTGGGGTCGAGGCCCGTGATCTCTTTGTATACGGTCGGCGACAGGTCGAGCGCACCGTGCGCGCACTCCGGGCAGCGGTCGAGCACCTGCACGACCGCCGTTTTGTTCTTCGCGGTGCATTGCTCGTCAATGCAGGACACTTCAATGCAGCGTCCGCAACCAGCGAGGTTGTCCCATTGCGCCTGGTTCAACGCGACGTAGTTGGTGGAGGCGCTCGGAATGGCCGACATGAAGTTGCAATTGCCGCTGCTGACTTGGCCAAGTGTGTAGCTGGTACCGTCGCCCTCAAAGTACTCGTCCGCGGCGGAGACGAATGCCGCCGTGAAACCGAGGAGAGCAGCGGTGAATCGGATAGCCGCGACCATGCTGCTTGATGAGTAAAGCTCTAATGAGGATGTCGGACTTGCACGTCGAAATGGAAAGTGAGCAGGTTGATTCGCCAACAAGACAGCAAGGCGAGAGTCAGCAGGTGCGTGATGCAGTCCAGAGAGTGCAGATGGAGTCTACCCGGGCAAGATTTGCAACATGCGAACACCTGTCCGCCGAACCTATGGTTCACGAGCAGCTCAATTGATCGATGCATAATCTTTTTTATGGATTTCACCGTGAATTACACTGTGCTTCACACAGCAGTGGTGATCCGCTTCAACGCTTCAACTTTTGCTGGTGGACCGCTGATCAACCATCTTCGCCATGTCCGGGAGATCGGACATTGACACGTACCGCGCGACGCCTTTGCATGGGTTCCTTGCGTGGTTAACCCGCTCTGAAAACCACGTGAACTTCGACGTCTGCTGAAAACGATCAGCACGACGGCGTCAATGAAACCACGTGGACGGACACATGCAGCGGGAGTCAAACTTGAATCAGTTACATGTACATGAACAGTAATACAGTGTAGTGTTCCATGTGGGCGGACCATGGCAGAAGCAGGCGCGGCGGACCTGAGCGGCGGCTGCCAAGGTGTCGCCGTCTCGGTGGTCGGAGACCAAGTCAGTGCAAGACGCTCGCAATCAACGGCGACGGTGTGGCGCACGTCCAGCTGGGTTTGGGGCATCGCGAGATCGTTGGCACGTTGGTGAAGGCGTGGGATCGCAAAGATGACCCTCGTGTGCACATGTACCTAGTGTGGTTATTATTAACAATAGTGAGATAGTAAACTCCCTTCGTGTTACAGAGGCAGATACCGTGAAGACGATGGCATAATGACATCTCGCCATGTGCGAAGACGCATTCGGCAGCTGGTGGATGCTGGCGCTGCTTGGTCTCACCTTCGGCAAGGAGTCGGTTCCTCGCTTGAGTGACCATCTGAACGACATCCTTGTGCTGCATTGCACATGTCTTTCGAGTCGAAAATTTAAAGGTTTGAGCTTGTAGACGAAGGCCGCGTTACGTTCATGGTCGATCCAATATATCGCTTCAACTCCAGCATTCATCGTCGTGGTGACCACAGTGGCGGTAGAAGTTGGCATGTATCGAACAGTAAAACGAAACAATTGATATTTTCACGACATAGTTGTAGGCCACATTTCTGACACACCTCTCTAGTCTGCGTTAATCCTTAGAACTGCTGCTTCGTATCGACACACTCGCCCACCTTCATAGAGTACGTGCCCGAAACGACGTCGCCTTGGACAGAGGTGACATCCACCTTGAGCTTGTTAAACGGCACCTCGTCGGCGCTATCGATCTGGTAGTAGAAGGCTCCGTCCAATAGCTTGCCAGCCTTGCCATTGATTGACAAACCCTTGACGGCAATACGCGTGTTCGCGGGCTGGATGGCTACCCACCACGGATTGCTGCCCTTCTTGAGGCACACCTTGATGGTGCCCGGATTCGGACAGTCCACGTACTTCCAGCCGATTTTGATGCGGCCGGGGTTGTAGCCGACGATCTTGGTCAGCGCACTCGGGGACATGTCCAAGTCGCCGTACTTGCATTCGGGGCAGCGGTCTACGACCTGCAGAATCACCGCCGTGTTCTTCTTGCATTTTGGGTCGATGCACGTGGCTTCAATGCACTGACCGCAGTGCTTCAGGCCATCCCATTGCGCCTGGTTCACGGCCACGTAGTTGGTAGATGCCTGGCTCCAGGACGACATGAAGGCGCAGTTACCATTGCCCACAGCGTCGAGGTTATACGGCGTGCCATCGCCCTGGTAGTAGGTCTGACCAGCGGAAACAGCAGTGACACCGAGTGCCAGAAGCGCGGAGTAATGCAGGACGCCCACCATCTTGTCGGTTTGAAGTCGAATTGGAAAGTGGGGGCTCTGACGGGTAGCGCGACAAGAACGCAAAGTGGAAAGGAGGGCAGGACCTTGGCGCTGCCGACGCTGCAGACCAGCTCAAGGAACGACCAGGGATGTTGTGTGCCCCCGCGACGTAACGGTAAGCGAACACAGACTGCGCGAAGTGAACAACACTGTGCTTTCGGGCATATCCGTTCTTTGGGATGTTGAGTCAGTGGTGGCTTACAAATTCTTAGTAACTCTTCACGCTGCACTCGATTGCGGTTTGCGAACATTCCTCCTCCAGCAGATCTCGTGCTGGTCGATGTAGCGTTAGCAGGGCCAAGTTGGGGGTGGACTGAGCGGAAGCTTTGACTTGGGCTGTGCTACTGTACACGTAAGTCGGTTGAAGTCGCACACAGTGAACTGGTACACGTACGCACAGAATGTACGTGAGCTGTTCTTACAGACGCCGCTCATCGCTACTGTGGTCGTTGTCATCAATGCGTATTCAATACGCCATACTGTGCACTCAACGTGGATAAATAAATACTTGAGCTAGGCAGGTTTGCTGTTCGTCGTTGCATTTTGCAATTGGCGAGTTACAGTAGTGTACTCGTATCCAACAACGTCGTTCACCTTCTCGTACTACTAACTTAAGTTAACGTTTGAACAATTGGAAAATGGAGACAACTGGTTTTGATTCTTGTTCTCCATTTACGACACAGCGCTCACAAACATTTACTTACGATAAAAAAGCTAA